AACAACAACAACAACAACAACAACAACAACAACCACAACCACAACCACAACCACAACCACAACCACAACCACAACAACAACAACAACCACAACAACAGCAACAACAACAACACCACCACCAACAACAACAACAACAACAACACCAACACCACCACCAACAACAACAACAACAAAAAAAAACACGCTAGAATTACGCAGCCGAGGAACCGCACATACTCATACAGTGGAGGCCCGACCACAAAAGAAGCCTTCCGCAAGAAACCCAACCCTGAGACCCCAGGACGTCCATGGATCCTTGGTGCGGGAACGTCACGCTTTCCATGGCAGAACCTCCGAAACCCAAGAAACCCAGGGCACCCTGCAGGCGAGCAGGGTGCTTCTTGGCATGGGTCTCCACGGTAACTTGTCTGGCGTGATGATAGCTGAAGTGACAATGCCTTGCGTACCCCTGTGGCCTCGAGAAAATGCCACGCGCGCTAAGCCCTAGGAAACCGCCCCCCTGCGCACCCCGATGGTGTCGTTAAAATGCCACTCCTACTATGTTCTAAGACGCCCGGCGTGCATAGCGGCCGCGGTGGGGGACCACCCCCTGCGCACCCCCTATGGTGTCGAGAAATTGCCACGCCTGCTATGCCTGGACAATTGGCGCGCATAGCGGCCGAGATGGGGGACCACCCGCTGCGCACCTCCTGTGGTGTTGAAAGAGTGCAACACTTGCTATGCCTGGCGACTGGCGCGCATAGCGGCCGCACTGGGGGACCACCCCTTGCGCACCCCCTGCGGTGTCGAGAAATTGCCACGCCTGCTATGCCTGGACGACCGGCGCGCATAGCGGCCGCACTGGGGGACCACCACCTGCGCCCCCCCTGCGGTGTCGTGAAAGTGCCGCGCCTGCTATGCCCTGGACCACCTGCGTGCTTAGCGGCCGCGCTGGGGGACCACCCCCCTGCGCACCCCCTGTGGTGTCGAAAAGGTGCCACCCCTGCCATGCCCTGGACGACCGGCGTGCATGGCGGCCGCGCTGGGGGACCACCCCCCTGCGCACCCCCTGCGGGATCGAGAAAGTGCCACGCCTACTAATGCCCTGGACGACCAGCGTGCATAGCGGCTGCGGTGAAGGACCACCCCGTGCGCACCCCCTGCGGGATCGAGAAAGTGCCACGCCTACTATGCCCTGGACGACCGGCGTGCATAGCGGCTGCGGTGAAGGACCCCCCTGCGCACCTCCTGCGGTGTCGATCAAGTGCCGCGCTTGCTGTGCCTGGATGACCGTGCGCATACGTCTTGGGTGTCTGATGCAGTGAACGCGCCAGCCATGCACTTGCGTTGTATGTAGTGTGTGTGTGTGTGCGCGTGCGACTGCATGTGTATCTTGTGTCTTGTGTGCCTTGCGTATGTGGATGATGTGTGTGTGTGTGCGGCTGTATGTGGACGGGTGCCTCATGTACATGCCGTGCATGTGTTGCGCGTGGGTGAGGGGAGGAAGGAAGAGGAGGGGAGGAGGGAGGTGAGTGCGGGAGACGCGGGTGCGACGCGGCAGGGAAGAAAACTGTAACCCCACGAAACATGTGGGGGAACATGAAATTTTGGCGCTCCAAGCGGATTTCTTGGATCTACGTTGGACCCCCCCTCCCTGGCGCGCGGAGCGCGCCATGGGCGACGCCGGAGGCGCCGCCGGGGGGGGGCTAGCGCAGATCCACGAAATCCGCGCGGAGCGTCGAAAATTTATGTTTACCCATCGGTCGGAAGAAGTAGGAAGGCGGATAAAGTAGATGGGGTTCGGGCCCTCCCAGAGAACAAGCCACAGCAAAAAAAGCAGACCGACACTTGAAACAGGAAGGCACTTGAGAAGTAGATTGGGATCTGGAAATTCAAAAATATCTGGCGGTTTTTCTAGAAGGGAAACAACGCCATAATTATAAACATTTGGCGCTCCGCGCGGATTTCTAGGATCCGCGCCGGACCCCCCTCCTTGGCGCGCGGAGCGCGCCAGGGGCGGCGCTGGAAGCGCCGCCAGGGGTGGCCCAGCGCGGATCCAAGAAATCCAGCGCGGAGCGCCAAAAATGTATGTTTATGGCGTTTGTTCTTCTTCTAGAAAAGCCGCTATACACGCCCGTCGTTAAAAGTAGATTTTTTTGGATTCCCAGATCCCCAGTCTACTTCTCAAGCGCCTTCCTGCTCCAAGAGTCGCCATGCGCTGGAAGCGCCGCGAGGGGGGGCCCAGCGCGGATCCAAGAGATCCAGCGCGCGGAGCGCCAAAAGTTTGTGTCTTATGGTGTTTTTTGGTTGTTGCCTTCTCCTTCGACCTCTTCTCCGAAGCCGTCCGCAGGAGGAGGCGGCGGGCGCGGAGGTCCGCAGGCCTCACTCCTGCTCGGGCAGGTGCGCCCAGCCCAGCCGGCCGCACGCCGTCGCCGTCGCCCGCACGCCCGGGGAGGCCGCCGCGGCGCGCGCGAGCAGGGACCAGGAGCTCGCGAGGGGCGAGAACTGCTTCGGCAGCAGCGCGAGGCCCGACCTTTGTGGACTCCTCGCGCTCCCCCACGGGGGAGGAGGAGGAGGAGGAGGAGGAGGAGGAGGAGGAGGAGGAGGAGGAGGAGGAGAAGGGGTGCAGGGCGGAGGATCGGGCATCATCATCATCATCATCATCAGCATCATCATCATCATCATCATCATCATCATCATCATCATCATCATCATCGTCATCATCATCATCATCATCGTCATCATCATCGTCATCATCGTCGTCATCATCATCAGCAACAGCAACAACAACAACATCAACATCGCCATATCCTGTCATGCCGCATCACATCACACAGTACCATACCATCATCACCATCACCATCAGCAGGAGCATCGGGATCAGCAGCAGCATCATCACTCGTGATCGTGCGATCCCCCTTCGCCTCATCGTCGTCGTCGTCGTCGTCTTCGTCGTCCTCCGCCTCCTCCTCCTCCTCCTCCTCCTCCACCTCCTCCTCCTCCCCCCGATGGCGTGGCCCTCTCCCCAACCTCTGCGCGAGCCTCCGAGCCCTGCCGCGCCGCACCTAGCGCTCCGACCTCGCCGATCGGAAGAGCAGATACGAAACCGCCACCGCAGCACCCCCGGACCTCAACAGGGCCTGCGCTGCTGACCAGGACATGCCAGCGCGGACCCAGCGGTTGGCGACGAACGCCCGCTCCCCTGAGTAGGGAAACGAAGAACGACATAAACATAAAAACTCGGAGGCCCGCGCGGATTTCTCGGCTCCGCGCTGGACAATCCTCCCGGGCGCGCGGAGCGCGCCGGGTGCGGCGCCAGAGGCGCCGCCAGTGGGGTCCAGCGCCGATCCGAGAAATCCACGCGGACCTTCGAGTGTTCATGTTTATCTTTGCGAATGCCATAACAATGGACACCCTAACAATCCTATCAATAATTTATTAATGTGTCTAGAATGTGGGAAACATGCTCTAAACCTGCAAAACAACATATTTCAACATGTTTAAGACATGCTCTAAACATGTTTTTGACATCTGGAATTTGTTTGACAACGTGCATCCTCTCCTTTGATCGTCGTCCACAGGTTTATGTCATTGTCCGCTCCCCTGCCTAGGAGGCCCAGAGGGGCGAACATCAGGCCCGCCGAGAGCGCAGTCCTCCAACGCACTGGCACATGCAGTGCGATGCTTGTCTTCTTTCCCGTGCTCGGCCTCTGGCGGCTCCCTCGCCGGATAATAGGGACCGTCGAAGCACGACTCTCTGGATGACAGGCCAGCCCTGGGGGGAAAGTGCCGGGACCTCTGGGGGGAAGGAGAAGGAGGAGGAGGAGGAGAAGGAGGAGGAGGAGGAGGAGGAGGAGGAGGAGGGGGAGGAGGAGGAGGAGGAGGAGGAGGAGGAGGAGGGGAGGAGGAGGAGGAGGAGGTGGAGGAGGGGAGGAGGAGGGGAGAGGAGGAGGAGGAGGAGGAGGAGAAGGAGGAGGAGGAGGAGGAGGAGGAGGTGGAGGAGGGGGAGGAGGAGGTGGAGGAGGAGGACCCCGGACTGAAAAACTCAAGACGTCTGATCTCTGGGAGGGGCCAGTAACAGAAGGCTGTGGCGAATCGTCTCGCGTACAATTGATTTTTCAGGGCTCTGGGGTTTTAGGGTTTTACACTTGTAGAGCTTTAGGGTTTTAGGGTAGGGCTGTAGGGTTCTAGGGCTCAGGACTTGGGGCTTTAAGGATTTAGGGTATTAGAATTTTAGGGTTGTAAAGAAAGACTTTGGGTTTTCGCGTTTATAGCTTGAAGGTTTTAGGGGTTTTAAGGCGGGGCCGAGACCAACTGCATGTAGCAGCAAATCTCGTACCCGGAGGGGCAACGATAGGGCAGGGCCGGCATTGGGGGGGGGGACATACCGACCTGGAATCGGCGATAGATACATCATCTCCGATAGATCGGCGACAGGCCCCCGAGGGTGAATCTGCACGTTCCTGGGCAGGTTGGGGCTATCGGGCCCTCATCGACGATGAATGGACGATTGGGGGTCGATGCTTTTTTCCTGTGCTTTTTTCCGATCGTTGCTCCTGGGAAGCAGAGGGCGTGGAGGAAGAGGCAGATGCGCTCACGAGGGTGCTCCTCGAATTTCCCGCAGGGCCACCAAGTGCACGCCCACCGCTCACGTCGTCGCGATTATTGCCGCCCTCTCGCGGGCGACGGACAGCGCTTCGCCCTTCCTCCCGCCTCACCGTGTGGAGTAAGGGGGAAGAGGGTGCAAGAGGAACCTGGGACCCCTGGATTCTATGCCTATCCCCCCCGATCGTTGCCCCTGATACCAAACCCCCCTTGTCTTAGATCGGGCGTGTCCACCTGCAGGCGGACTTTCTGGACGAACAGAACAAGAAACAGTCAACAACAAAAACAATGATTCAAAAATGCGCAAGGATAGTCAACAAATCGCCCCAAGACTACTTGTTGACTGTTTTGAATCTTCCTCCTGTTGAGGGGCAGGCCCGACTTTACCCTCCCAGACATCCGACGTCTCGATTTCTTCGAGACACGGGCCCTCGACCTCCCGACCACTTCCCCGGGACCGGTTTTTCATCCCGAGTCGTTTTTGGACGGTCCCGAGGCCCAGCGAGGGCCCCGAGGGGCCGAAGACGACGAAAAAACTCCGTCCCGATTTTGTTCGAGACGCCCGATGTCTGGGCGTGTCCCTGTCCCCTCCCTGGCCGCCCCAGCCCGAGAGGGCCAGCCGGCACCTGGCGGGCCCCGGAGGCGCGAGGAGCAGCATGGCAGCACTGGCCCAGTGCGCAGCACGCGGCGCGCAGTGCTCGAGCAGGGGATCGACTGCAGCATTGGTTCGCCCCAGAAATCTTGTTCCTCGCCGAATCTACAAAGCAGATGCGTACCATGTTCGTGTATGTATGTATGCATGCATACATGCATGCATGCATGTATGTATGTGCATGTATGTATGCATGCATGTATGCAGGTATGTATGTATGTATGTATGTATGTATGTATGTATGCATGTATGTATGTATGTATGTATGTATGTATGTATGTATGTATGTATGTATGTATGTATGTATGTATGTATGTATGTATGTATGTGTGTATGTATGTATGTATGTATGTATGTATGTATGTATGTATGTATGTATGTATGTACGTATGTATGTACATGTATGTGTATGTATGTATGTATGTATGTATGTATGTATGTATGTATGTATGTATGTATGTATGTATGTATGTATGTATGTGTGTATGTGTGTATGTATGTATGTATGCATGTATGCATGTATGTGTGTATGTATGTATGTATGTATGTATGTATGTATGGATGCATGTATGTATGGATGAATGTATGGATGTATGTGTGTAAGTATATTTGTTTGTGTACATATGCGAACAGTTTGCGCATTCTCGTGGATTCGACGAACCAATCAATCTTGGGCTAAATCAATTATGTAGTCGATCCCCTACTCGGAGAGCATCGATGCGGAGCTCAACACGCAGACTGGAAACGTAGGTATGGCGCGATGCGCTCGCCTCAGCGCAGGCCAGCACGCCGAGCCAACACGCAACGTACTGACACGGACGTTGCAAGCACGGCACGTGTTGCGTTTCGACACGGGCGCATCGTGGCAGCTGCGCTGCGGACGGCCGTGCGGGACCCCGGGGCGAAGCGACGGCGGCGAGGGCCACCCACCCAAGAGGCCCAGGAAGGCGAAAGCAAGGGCAGGGTGGCGGCATCTGCACCGATCGATCCTCGATCGAGGATCGAGGATCGAGGACCGAGGATCGAGGATCGATCGAAAAACGACGACTGCGCCGATGGCTTGCTGGGCCCCGCACGTCGAGGTCCAGCTGTCGAAGTCGACGACGACGCGCTCCGGGTCCTTCCGCGAGGGGCCCCTGGGCTGGGCGGGCTCGGCCCCGCTGGGCACGCAGATCCTCTTTCCCCTCCTCCTCCTCCTCCTCCTCCTCCCCCTCCTCCTCCTCCTCCTCCTCCTCCTCCTCCTCCTCCTCCTCCTCCACCTCCTCCTCCTCCTCTTTTTTTCTGCTCCTCCTCCTCTTCTTCTTCCTTCTTTCGATCGCATGGTTACCGCCACCGCATCGCCGGCGCGGGCCTGCGCGGGCAAACACACGGGAGCTCCGAACAGGCAGCACACACAAAGCGGAAGCGTGCGGTCTGCCAACGACTGCGCACCACTCGCAGCCCGTGGGGCTCAGCCCCCTGGCGCGAGCTCTGCGGGGAGGGTGCCGGGCGCCCGCCGCGAGGGCTGCGCTCTCTCTTAGGGGGCCTCCGCGGGGCGAAGAAGCGCTGGGCCAGCGCGAGGGCCGGGGGCACGCTGACACCGCACAGCCCCCCCGGGGCCGCGTCGGGCAGGGGGCGCCGAGGGCACCCCTGGCGCTCCTCTGGGCCCGTGCCTTCGACTCGGGCACCCCCCGCGGCCTGGGCAGGGGGCCCGCAAAGAAACGGGTCCTAGGAATTACGATCAAGAGCTCGTCCCCCCCTTCCTCCCCCTGCCCCTTGCCCTCCTCCTCCTCCTCCTCCCCTCCTTCCTTTTTTCCTCCTCCTCTTCCTCCTTCCTCCTCCTCCTCCTCCTCCTCCTCGTCCTCCTCCTCCTCCTAGGACCCGTTTCACTCGAACGCCTGGGGTAAATGTCAAGACGACGTCGTCTCGACGTTTGCTTCGCGGCCCCAGGCGCGGGACCGGCCAGGGGCCAAGGCGGGGGGGGGGGCGCGGGAGGGGAGGGGGGTGCGGGGCAGGACGGGCCGAGGCACCGGGTCAAGGGAGAGGGCGAGGCACGGGCCAAGGCGCGCGGGGGAGGCGCCAAAACGACGAAAACGGGGCGCCCCGGCACGGCCGCTCGAGCCGCCCCCAGGGAACTCTGAGCGCACAGGTGAGCACGCCCAGAATCCGCCGGAGGGGTCGGGCCTGACTGACGCGGCCTTCTGGGCCGTCCTAGCGGGATTCGAAGCGCCCCCAGGGCGCCCCGAGTGCCCCAGCCCGGCCGTCCGCGCCACCCCCGGTGAATTCTGAGCGCCCGCGGTGGGCCGCAGGAGGCTGCGGGAATGCGGGAGCTCCAGTCCAGCCGGTTCGACGCGGCTGCCAGAAGGATTCTGGGCGCCCGCCAGGATGCGCTCGGAATTCCAACAAGGGGGTGCTCGGCTCAGACGCAGCTGTTCGGCGCCCCCTTCTGGGATTCTGGGGGCCCGGGGGGGCGCTCCAGATCCACCACGACGAAGGGGCCCCAGACGCGGCCGCCCGAGCAGGCGACGAAGCGCCCCGCTGCAGTCATCGCCGCGAGGACGTCCGCGTCCTCCCGGCACTGGCGCTGCAGCTCTGCCGCGAGCTCCCCCTCCCATGGGGCGACTTCCGTTGCGTCCTGCGCGGCGTGATATGCGTGGGCGCGTGCTCCGAGGTTGGTGCCGCCCGCGGGCGCCTCGGCACCGCGCCGGCTGCAGCTTGACATTGTTGAGCCAGAGCGAAGTCGGACTCTGAACGTCCTCTCTCTTACAGATGAGCGGGGGGGGGGACTTTAATGACCGTGGGGTTGGTGCTCGTTTTGAAATCACGGTCAGATGGCCAATGAGGTTGAAGCGCTTTGTCCGCCACGGGCAGCCTGCAGCTATTTGATATCCTGGACAAGTGTTTGAAGCTTTGTCTCGTGCTCTCCCACCGTGGTCTCAACTGATTTAGTGCGGACCGAGGTGCCGTCGAGCTGATGCTGGACCCTCTTTTCCATTGCGTCGAGATCAGGCTTCAAAGCAGCAGGGGCGGCGGCCACGGCGGCCAGTGGGGCGTTCTAGACAGCCTGCTTGAACGAGACCAGGGCGTCGCCAAGAGGGTCGACGCCTGCCTTGACTGCTTCACCAGCGACGGTAGCGATAGAGGCCTGGATCTGGTCGCGCTGCGTCATGAGCTGCTCCAGGACCCCAGCTGCGCAGAGGGCGCGGATGTGCTCGTGGATGTGATCGTCATGCTCGTCATCGCTGGTGGCGCGGCTGGAGCGAGACGGCGAGGAGTGTCGCGAGCGTGAAGGCCGTCACGGTCAGCACCGCCCAGATCCCTCTTGGCCTTCTTCTGGCCCGCACCGTTCGCAACGATGAGATCAGATAGCCGAGCAGGACCGGTAAACTCCACCGTTTACCCGACCATCTGAGGAAGACGGAGAGTGCTCCAGCAGGAGCTCACCAGCAACTGGAAGCTGGCCGCCGACTAGCGGCATCCATCTTGTCCCCGAAGAGGCAGACATCTCGAGCCCAAATGGCTGCGGAGGAGCAGGATGATGACGACGATGAGGAGGAGGAGGAGGAGGAGGAGGAGGCGAAGAAGAAGGGGAGGAGAAGGGAGGAGGAGGAGGAGGAGGAGGAGGAGGAGGAGGAGAAAGAGGAAGAGGAGGAGGAGGAGGAGAAGGAGGAGGAGGAAGGCAAAGGAAGCCTGCCTGAGGGGGCGGGACTAGGGCCTCTCCGCCCAGCGCGAATCAAGACCTTCATGCTGGCGATATGCCCAGCCATGGGGTAATGACAATGCTGCTTCAGTGCCACGAACGCGACGTTCGCGGACGCCCGCCAATGTGCCTATACTGGCTGGTCGTGTCGTAGGTGTCGTGCAAGAAGACCGCCATGCAAGCCAGGCCCTGGGAGTCATCCGGGAAGCGCCTCTGAGCTGAGATGCGATGGTCCGCTGTGTGCGGGGTGATGTGGCGCATATTGAAAATGGTATCGGCACACCCGCCGCACGCAGCTGCGGAACATTGAGTGGTCCTTCGAATCCTCCGCATACCCCTGGCGGCCAAGCAAATAATGGTTCATTGGCCCAGCCCGGCACTGGAAACGACGCGGCAGGCACCACCAGCTCCGTAGAATCGCCAAGCAAGTAGCTTGAACACAGGGCACGACAAGGGCGAAAAGACATTGAAGGTGGCGCGCAAGTCTGGCTGCTGAGTGCGCTGGTGGGCCTGACAGTTGCCACCTGGCCATCTTGGAGCGGATCCGCCTGACGAAGACAGGCTGGCTCTCCGTCCTGGGGAGATTGTATGCTTCGCGTTGGAAGCACTTTCGGCTCCTGAGCTGGGCCGCGGTGCCATCACCCACAGTGGGGGCGTTCGCGTGGTGATACGGACGTGACGGCATAAAACATTGCGCCTGCGGCACTCAGGGCCAGGCGGCTCGGGCGCAGCCGCGCAACGTGGGATCCCGAACATCAGCCATTCCATCGAAACCGCATCTGAAAGAAGGGCGGAAAGCCAATCAGCCCCATTCGTCGAGCCCGAGTGCCCAAGGAACTCCCCGATGATGTCGAGTGTTCGTGGTGCGCGACGCGGAGCTGGGACGCCTGGGCCAGCAACTCGATCGAGACGCATGAGTTGGCCTGTCCGCAGCCCTCCATCAGATACCACAGGTCTTGCTGTGAGGCCAAATTTTTGGGGCCTGGGGCGACCTTACGGAGTGTGGCCTCCTCGAGCGCGCGCACTCGCTGAAATGGAATTCTGTAACTGAGCGAAGAAAGAGAAAGCGGAGACCGCGTAGACGTTGTGCGCGAAAATGCTGATGTGCAGCCCCTGATGACTGCTCGCCCAAGTCGCCACTAGAGCGCTGGGCGAGCGCTTTATCACCAGAGGAATTGGCCTTGCAGGGCCCCACGGCGAAACCCTGATAGATGCCGCGCGCACCGAAGTTTCAAAGTGCGTCTTTGTGTCAGTTGCGGTTTCACGCAAGTCGGATGATCAGGAACATGGGCCAAGTATGTCTAGGGGTACCACCTGCGAATAGAAGCGAGCACATGGTCGAATGCTTTAAGCAAGGCCGAGAAGCTCGCTCTAAAGCGTTCGTAATTCTGTTCGACTCGCATCGCGATTGTTCTTACTCACTTCATCCCTCCACTTCCTTCCTCCTCCTCCCGCTCCCCCCCTCTCCTCCTCCTCCACCTCCTCCTTCTCCCCCTCCTCCTCCTCGAGCGTACCAGGGGGGACCGCGTCCGATGGTCTCAACCTCGAGGTGCGCCTGGCCTCGCGATGGTTGCGGGGCGGGCGACCTGGCGACGAACTGCACTTAGCGCAGTTCGACAAGCTGCGGCGGAGATGGGGTGGTCAGGCAAAGCACGGAGAGCATCGTGCAGGTATGACGCATGGACACAAACAATGAGCGATTCGCGGGAGGGGGGAAGAAGCCCGAGACGGGCGATGGGACAGGAGGGGAGAGGGCGCTGGACAGCGAGAGTGAGGGCACGACAGAAATGAGGACAACGCCAAGTATGGGAGAACCTGCGGGGCTCGGGGCACCCAAATATACGCGGGTTCTGCTCTTGAAAGCGTGCTGGCGTGATCCACCCACCAGAAAGAGTCTTGAGAACTGCAAGGGACCAGGCTGGGGGGAGGGAGGGGAGGGCGGCTCTCACATCGCCCCAAGGAACAGAGTCAATTTCGGCAACTTTATCTGGAAACCAACGATATAGGCGTTTGCGAAAAAGAACACGGAGATTGTCAGGATAAACGTTAAGGGGGGCTTCTCGATAGAGGATACGTTGGGGGTGAAGAGCGCGCGGGGGAAGATGGGGACGGGCTTGCTGGACATCCCGAAGAGCATGGATGGCCTGGCGGAACAGAGGGTGGAGACGATGCCAGTCGGGAAAACCATTCGCTGCCGCCTCCAGGTTCAGGGCGAGCGCGGGTGCCTGCCAGAATTCAGGCCACGGGCGCCCAGAGATGGCGCGCACGAGGGAATACTCCTCAGCGCAGGTTCGGTGGAGCATCTTCGAGATCGGTTCCCAACAGGTAAACGTGAAAAGCGCAGCCCGAAAAGGTTGAACAGCATTGAGGATCCACAAACTCGGGATTTTTCGGACCGCCCCACTGGGCTAAGTTGCTCCACGATCCTTGGCTGAAGCAACAAAACGGGAGGCGAAA